GGTGGTGCAAGCTCAGTGCCAGGAGACAGAGAAAGGAGAATCGCTGGGGCTCACTGGTCAGCCAGCTTCACCGAATCTGTGAGCCATAGGCCAGTGAGAGACCTTGCCTCAAAACAACAAAGTAGAGGGTTGCTAGGGAGCATCCGGGGTTGTTCTTTTGCCTCTACACGCACATGAACAAACATGCACACACTGGAATGCACACACATATGGGGGGGGGAAAGAAAGGTGGGTCACTTGACATGTTTACTTCTACCCCACTAACCAAAACCAAAAGCTCTATTGTCCCAGGTAAGGAAACTACAAAATGGGTTATGGGGGAGCTTAGGCTGGCAAGAAAAATCTTTATCCCTGTACCACCATTGCTGCCTTTCTCATGGATGCCATGAACACAAGGCTACAGGGTCTGACAGCAACTTCTTCCATGACCTGAGCTCTGCACACAGCTAAGGTTGGTGTGGAGAAATGGAAGCCTATGACATGGTCACAGTGGGTGGTGACTGAGCCTTGGTACACGTACAGTGAATAGTCCTCTAACACACCTGTCTCTCCAGACACAGCACCACCTCTCTCCTTGTCCACTCTGTTCCTCCAACCTGCCTTCTTCCCTGTACAGGGCCTTTATCCTTGTTGCTTCTACACAAAGTGAGTAACAGTAAACCCCCAACCACAGAACTCATGATGAACTAATGATGCTGTCTTGGCGTTCTAATTGCCAAGCCCGATACATTGCACAGCTGCCACAGGTGTCATCATTTAAATATTATACAGCTTGTGTGGTGATGTTGTGGGAGGCTATAAAACACAAAGTTGGAACCTCACTAGAGAAGGCAGATTATGGCCCTATCCTGGTTCTGGTTAAAATGCTATCAGAGTTGAGGTCACAGCCTATTTCCATAAGGAGCCAAGTTCAACCACCCATCATTGATATAGCAATTAAAATAAATTAATAGTGAAAACCAGAAAAGGGGGATTGATTTAATGTAGCAATGCTGGAATGGGTGGTAAGAAGGTCCAGTGACCTCTCCTCGAGTCCTTCTTCAGGGTCCTAAAGTGAGGTTAAGGTTTGAGAACAGTGTAAGAGTTATGCATATCTAAGCAGTCCCTAGTCAAGGAGTGGCCTGCCCAACACTATCTGAACTCTCCAGCAAGTGGGCTGGTAAGTTCTCAGCTCTTGCTGGGAGGCAAGTTCCTCCTATGGATGGCACCAAACTTCTTTTGTCCCCAGCATTCGATTTTTGGGGAATTCCAGTTTTGTAGAGTCCATTGTTTCAATAGTCTGATAGAAAAATGAGGGACACAGGTGGCTGTCCTGCCAGGCCAGTTAGAAGAGCTCTGCAGTGGGTAGAGATGTGAGGAGTCTCAACTGCTCCACCACGTTTCCCCACCATGACGAACCTAAGCTAAAATAAACTCTCTTCTCTTAAGGGCTTCCTTCAAGTACTTTATCACAGAACAGAAAAGCAACTAGTGGGTGCCAGAGACATATCCTAAACAGCCCCAACACAAGGCCCTCCTACAGCCCACCTTCACCCTACAGCCCCACCCACCTTCACCCTACAGCCCCACCCACCTTCACCCTACAGCCCCACCCACCTTCACCCTACAGCCCCACCCACCTTCACCCTACAGCCCCACCCACCTTCACCCTACAGCCCCACCCACCTTCACCCTACAGCCCCACCCACCTTCACCCTACAGCCCCACCCACCTTCACCCTACAGCCCCACCCACCTTCACCCTACAGCCCCACCCACCTTCACCCTACAGCCCCACCCACCTTCACCCTACAGCCCCACCCACCTTCACCCTACAGCCCCACCCACCTTCACCCTACAGCCCCACCCACCTTCACCCTACAGCCCCACCCACCTTCACCCTACAGCCCCACCCACCTTCACACTACAGCCCCACCCACCTTCACACTACAGCCCCACCCACCTTCACACTACAGCCCCACCCACCTTCACACTACAGCCCCACCCACCTTCACCCTACAGCCCCACCCACCTTCACCCTACAGCCCCACCCACCTTCACCCTACAGCCCCACCCACCTTCACCCTACAGCCCCACTCCACCCTACAGCCCCACCCCACCCTACAGCCCCACCCACCTTCACCCTACAGCCCCACCCACCTTCACCCTACAGCCCCACCCACCTTCACACTACAGCCCCACCCACCTTCACCCTACAGCCCCACCCACCTTCACCCTACAGCCCCACCCACCTTCACCCTACAGCCCCACCCACCTTCACCCTACAGCCCCACCCACCTTTACACTACAGCCCCACCCCACCCTACAGCCCCACCCACCTTCACACTACAGCCCCACCCACCTTCACCCTACAGCCCCACCCACCTTCACACTACAGTCCCACTCCACCCTACAGCCCCACCCCACCCTACAGCCCCACCCACCTTCACCCTACAGCCCCACCCCACCCTACAGCCCCACCCACCTTCACACTACAGTCCCACCCCACCCTACAGCCCCACCCACCTTCACACTACAGTCCCACTCCACTCACCTTCACACTGACAACCCTACTCCACCCTCATTCACATTGATAACTCTTTTTCCCCTAAACTGACTAAACTGACACATCCCTGTCCTAGCAGAATTTAAAAATATGTTTCCTCAAAGCTTGCTTATCATTTGCCAATAAAAAGTCCTTGACATAGGCAGAGCACAGCTTCTGCCTTCAGAGACTTGGTATCCACTGGAAGGCATCTGAAGTGGCTGTTCTTGGTTTTCAACTTGACTACATCTATAATTAACCAAAACCCAAGGGACCAGGTACATCAAAGGGGTTTTCTTAATTAAATGACTTAAAGTGGAAAGACCCACCTTTAATCCAGATCTTTTGAGATTGGAGGACCTGTCTTAAATGTAGGCCAAACCTCTGGTGGCAGCCTGTGCAAAGTCATGGAAGAAGGAAGTGCCGCTCTCTTTCTTTGCCTGTTTGCCCTCGCTCTCCCTGGCAAGTCCATTCCTTAACTGGCATTAGATCATGCTTCTTCAGGATTCCAGTGTATATGGAAGACCAGCTGAGACACCCAGCCTCGTAGACTGAGCAACTACTGGATTGTTGGATTTTCTATTGGTAAACTGGCCTTGTAAGCCCCACTCAGATGGACAGACGGACAGATTGACAATAGATTCATTCATTCATTCTATCAGGTATGTTATTCTAGAGAACTCTGACTAATTCAACACCCATCTGGTTATCACAACCCTGCAGGTGGGAAATGTTCTCATTCCACCACTACTCTAGGGGCCCAGTATTCAGGCACTGATACCACCCGACATCATCTCATGAACCCCACAGAGAAAAGCATTTGAACAGAGCTCTCCTGGCCCTGGTTTCTGATCCTTCCTTACCAGTCTGTCTTGTCAAACTGCAGCTTGTCTTCCGACTAAACTCACCTGAATTAGAACTCAAGCTGTTTGTGCCATCACTGCTCTTCTCTTACTTAGGAACCAGCTTTAAAAAGCACAAGGAAAATGGTGGCCTGGAGCTAGAGGGGTGGATCAATGGCGGAGCCGTGCTGCTCTCTTCCCCTCCATGGTGTGGTATGTGTACCTAACCACTCCCCACATGCACACACATGTGCAAATAAACAAAAAATCAGTTATTCTTTACTGATGTTATACACACAGAGACACAAGCACATGCATGTACAGTCACACACACAAACATAAAAATTAAATGGCTTTTGATAAATGTTATGGAGACACACAAATAAACATTAAAAAGCAACTTTTGATAAGTGTTATATACACACACATACAAATAAGCAATGACTCAATGTTATTATTGCCCAGGTGACTTGCAAGATGGATATTCTAATATTAAACCATCATTAGATACTAACTTTTCTTTATAGTCAAGGATTGACCCTAGAGCCTGGCGTATACTATGTGCACATTTTATCACAGATCTATACCCCAACTCTTATAACCGTAAAACAGGGTTTCACTAAGTTGCCCATATTGACTTTGGACTTATAACCCTCCTGTCCTGACCTTCTGAGTCATCAGGATTAGAGATATATGCTTCTGTGACCACCATTCTATTAAGATGTGATTGGATTCAACTGGGTAATGTATATCTAGAATGTATCTGTATATGTGCCTAAAGGGCACACAGGCATGCTTTCCTCTGTATGTTACCATTGTCAGGCTTCTCTCAGGGTAGCATACACTTGAACCATGACACAGGTAAGAGCAAACTCTTCAAGACGACAGCTAGTAAAGGCTCTTTGTGGGGTCCTTAGACAGTCCCTGGCCATCATCAAAGTCGGCCACCTCCTTAGAGTCACTCTTCTTTACTATGTTACATCTTTCTTCACCTGTTGCAAGTCCCTTCTGGCAGTTCACTCCTCTTCCACTATGATGAGTGGCATCTGACAACAGCCTACATTTATCAGCACGAGGTTGTACACTGGTGTGTTCCTCTCTGAATCTTGCACATCTGAGGTTAGAGTCTTTCTGTACTACTTTCATGTTCATGTATGTGGAAGCCTGGGGACAACCTTGGATAACACCTTAATAAATGTTCTCTCATTGGCCTGGAGCTTATCACTCAGGCTAGCCGGGTCCTCTTGTCCCTGCCTCTACGTACTGGCTTATAATGGTGGACCACCACACTATTTTTAACATGAGCTCCAGGATGCAGCCCCAGGTCTTCAGGCTCATAAACCTTCACTCCAGCCTGTGTTCTTTTGCTTTTAGTGTTACATACTCACACTTCTGATGTTACCTTCCTGCCACAGGTGCCAAATGTTTCTAGCTATGTAATGCTTTTCAAAGAGCCAACTTTTCCTCCTCTATCCAGTGATCTGAGTTTATCTTTTTGTGTTTCATCTTTCTAGATCATGTGCTAGCTGACTGTAGCAGGCGGGACCTCACCTCGATCATGCCAGAGCAGCCAGCATTAGAGATAACCACAGCATCAGAAACTGGGGTTGTGGGACCCATCTGGGCAGGCCTTACCTCAATGAGCTTCCTCTCATAGGAGCTTGCTAGCTCCTCAGCAACTTCCCCAGGCTTCTGTTCAGGGACTGTAACTTCTCCATCAACATTCCAAAGATTGGGTACAACTTTAAGAAAAGAAAAACACTCAGGTAAGTGTTTTACCAAGCATCAATTACTCTATGCTCATTTTAATGCATGTGTTTAACTTATTTAATATTTATGCACATGTGGATGTGAGTACACAATTAATTTCTCCCGTGAGAAAGATCTTTATAAGGAAAACAAATCACAATTAGTAATTACTTCATCACTCCAACACCATAACACAGCACAACAAAGCAAGGGATGGTGCACAGTCTTCTGATGTGGGAAGTCCTCCTGTGCGTTGCAAATATGTGTCGTTTTTATTGGTTGACGAATAAAGCTGTTTTGGCTAATGGCCAGGCAGAATAGAAACCAGTGGGAAATCCAAACAGAGACATAGAGAGAAAGAAGATGGAGTCAGGGAGATGCCATGTAGCCACCGAAGGGGTAAGATGCCAGTAAGCCATAGCCACATGGTGATACACAGATTAGTAAAAATGGGTTAATTTAATTGTGAGAGCCAGTCAGTAATATGCCTGAGCCATTGACCAAACAATTATAATTAGACCTCTGAGTTCAGGAACTGGAGGGTGGGAGAGGAACCTCCACTTACAATCCTCTAATATAAGGGTTAAGGATGGTACACAGGCTTCTGATAGAAGGGTTAAGGTGTGATCTCTCAACTGATCCTGTGGTCATTAATTCTGCTCTGCCATCATGGACTCTTATCTCTCTGACACCATAAACCAAGCTAAGTGCTTTCTAAGATGCTTCAGGGTGTTTTAGCACAGCAATTGAAAAGCAGCTAATACAGAAATAGAACCAAGAACAATCTATGAAGGGTCTCAACCTTCCTAATGCTGTGACCCTTTGACACAGATCCTCATATTGTGGAGACCCACAATGATAAAATTATTTTTGTTGCTACTTCATAACTGTATTTTGCTACTGTTATGAATTGCAATAGAAATGTCTAATATGTAGGATATCTGATATGCAACCTCTGTGAAAAAGGTCGTGACCCACAGGTTAAGAACCTCTACCTTAGAAGGACAGTCAACAGCCTTAGGAAAGTCTCTGAAATCAGGGCATCAAATCACTGCAAGGCCAAGCTACAGGAAATTGCCCCCACGTCATGATGTACAGGCACGGTCACCCATAAGTATCCATTTTGTGCTGAAGATCAAATAATTAAAGACTGAGAATGAACCAAGAAGCTCCAAGGACACTAAGACAACAAGACCAAGATAGGAGTATAGCACTGGACAAAGAAAAGCCCAGTGACACACTTTACAAATGTGGACAAGGCTCCATTCCAAGTAGATGCTGAAAGGTGCTGGTCCTGAATGCCCATTAACCATTATGGGATTATACTAGGGCAAAATAAAGGCCTGAAGCAGCCCCAGGTAACAGGAAGTGGCCTCCAGAACTGCAGTACAAGCACAAGCACTGTGATATCTTGTACAAATAAAGCCTGTCTAGAGGTCAGAGAATGGAGCTTGCCATTTGCTAACCATAGAGGTCTGTACAGACAGACAGGAAGTGAGGTGACTGGGCAGAAGCAGGATATAAGCAGGAAGAAACAGGAAATTGCTCTCTTCTCTGCTGAGATGCTAAGGAGGTAAGATGTGCTGTGGCTTGCTCCTTTTCTCTGATCTCTCAGCATTTCCCTCTATATCTGACTCCAGCGTTTTATTATATAGACCAATTAAAAATTCCATTTACATTGGCACCCTCCAAACTTCACATGACCCATGGTTGAGTTTCAAGGAGCCCAGTAACCAAGTGGCCATCAACCCTAACTGGGCAGCCTATAGGAGAAACAAAGCCTTTGGTGACAATGAAACACCCTGCATTCTGAAACTTTAAGTTGATTTTAGCCACTGCAGGGAATAACCAGTAACACCTAACACTTAAGGTACCTGAAGAAAACTTAAAGACTCCAGTAAAAGATGATTCAATGAGCATGTTAAATTCATTTCCTTTAAAATCTCATCAAAATATGCATTGCTTTTGTTCTAAATAAAATAGAAAGTTGAAGATGAAATGAAAAAAACAAAAAATATAGAAGCTGATAATCAAATAGGTAAAGAAAATTTCAGCCCTGGATACAAGTACCTGACTTGAACAGAATGCCTCACAGAAGATTGCACACTGCCAGCAAAACACAATCGTCTGAGAGGCAAACAGACGAAAGCCACCAAGGGCATGAAGTGCTTTGAGAAGCTGCAGTCAGATGAATGCTCTGCAGAGAAGCTAACAGTAGATCTGGGCTGAGTCCAAAGTTAAGAGAGTCACTGAAAACAGCACTGTGTGAGACTCCTAGTCTCCTCTCCTCCCCTCCCCTCCCCCCCTCTTCTCTCCTCTCCTCTCCTCTCCTCTCCTCCCCTCCCCCCCTCTCCTCCCCTCCCTCTCCTCCCCTCCCCTCCCTCTCCTCCCCTCTCCCTCTCCCTGTCCTTCTCCTCTCCTCTCCTCTCCTCTCCTCTCCTCTCCTCTCCTCTCCTCTCCTCAATCCTACTTGCTCCCTGAACAGCAGGGACCCATCATACATCTCCTAAGCAAGGTAACAGCAACCTGTCCTCCTGGGAATCCAAGGAGCACAGGAGGAGAGCCTGAGGAGACTGGTGGAGCTGTCACCAGGAATGGCACAGCCAGGTAGCCCTGCCAAGAAGCAAAAACTAAATATTCACAGTGCCTCTACCAGCTTTCTAGTATCCTGCCAGAACTAAGGAGACAGCTCGATATCAACTTGCCTTGTGGCAAGCACCTACGACAAAGGAAATGTATGACTTGTGTGTAGGGAAAACAGCCTAGCTCCAGGAAAACTTCCCATCCAAATACCCAACATCCCCAGGGGCAAAGAGAAGGCCCACATGGAGCAAGAAGAGAGTGATGTCCTAAAGAATGAAAAGCACACAAAAGGCAAAGCAATTCTGTTCAAAGGAAGCCATGACAGCAGAAGCAGAACTCTGCCCACAAGGAAACATTTCCAAAACCAGAGGCAAAGGCCCCAAGATGAAAATGGAGGCACACAACTGCTAAGGGGAAAGGATAAGCTAACCCAAAACAGGGACTCAAAGACCTAATTCAGCACTTTATCATGCATGACTATCAAATCTGAAGAGCAAAGGGCACCCACCACAATGAAGGAAATGAGAACACCTTGGGACCAGGGAGAGCAAGAAAGAGGTGGCAGGCCTCTGGAGTGGAATGGAGGATTTTCATGATTGCAAACTAGAAACTGCAAAGGCTTCTTGAAAGCAACATGGCAGACTAGCAAACAATGAAGTATGCCTTCAACACCTTCAGGGAAAACTGCTTTTATCTGAAGCAAACCATGTGAAACACACAACCCATAAAGAATTGTTCCCACTTATGGAAGGAAAATCTAGAAAGAATAAAACAAACAGATAATGAACAGATAAGCAGAGCAGTTCTCTAGATGGTGGGGTATTACTCAGCCAAGAGAAAGTGGAGACTATTTCATGTTGCACCATTAAAAACACCTTGAAAGAAGACAAAGGCCACAATGTATGAGCCCACTGACATGAACTTTCCACAGATGTAATCAAGCAGGATCTGGGGAAGGACACATGGAGCATGACTGCTAATGAGTATGCAGTTTGTTCTACAAGGGAGATGAGCATGTTCTAGAAACTGTGATGATGGGCGTGGTGGTGTACCCCTGTAATAGCAGCACAAGAGGTGGAAGCAAGTGGATCAGGAGTTCAAGCTCATCCTTGGCCATAGAGTCAGTTCAGGCTAGCCTGACTATCTCCACAACTGTCTCAAAACAACAAAGAGGACAAGTGAAATGGCTCTGCAAGGAAAGGCACTTCACAGCCAAGCCTACTAACCTCAGTTCTTCCTGGAACCCATGTGGTGGGAGGAGTACAGAGAGTCCCACACAAAAGAGACATGAAAACAGTAACAAAGAGTTGGGTAAGATATTAGTACTAGAAAAATCAGGGACCCCTCTTGGTATCTTAGTCTCTTTGATAAAAGAATTTACAGAATGAAATAGAAATGGGAAGACAATCTTATTAGAGATTAGAGAAAAAGCAGAGGGTGGGCAGGGTATCCAGAGAAGAACGGAGGAGGAGAAAAACAGGACAAACCACTGGAGTTAAGCCTGCAGCAGCCCAGACACAGGGCTGCAGGCAGACACGTGGCAGGAGGAGGGCTTTAGAGAAAAAGCAAGGAAGCCAAGGTGGAAGGGAGCATGCTCACCACAGAACAGAAAGAAGAGGAAAAGTTACACTTTTCCGAGTAGTTCAAAAAAGCAGACCACCCTACAAAGAAGCACGGCTGAGCACTGGAAGAGACTAGGCTGGGGACAGGAATTCTGGGGAGGAAAAGCACATTATCTCACTAAATAACTGTCCCACTACCTCTCTGGCATGGTTTAAGGCAAACCTATCTTCCTAATGGTGGTCCCCTGACCAGGTCATTGGTACACACAACCAGATTAACTCTTAAGAGAGAAGTGACATATCTCCACCTAGAGGTGGATTGCACTCCTTAGCAAGAGCAATGCCAGCAGCAGTGCGGAGGGGATGAGCACACGCCTGGAGCTGTAAGCAGCTGTCAGGCAGAGCTCAGAGCTGATAACTATCCAACATATGCAGCTAATACCCTCCCCAAGGGTCTGGCACCCCAAATGACCTTCAGATCTTTGTCTGGCCATGGGTGTCTCTCTCTTTAACAAGGCGCCCCTGTCCATTAGGAAGATGTGTCTTGTAACCTACATGTCTCCCTATTGATCCTCTGGTCTTCCTCCGGGCTCCAGAGCATATTTAAGAAGAATCAGTAATATTCCACTCTGGGCAAAGAAGACATGGAAATAGCTTTATTCAAATTGGACTCCATGCTAGTTTACCGTTTTGCTTGTGTGTTTGAATTTTTTGCTTCTAGTGTTTTTTTTTTTTTTAAAGAAAGAACATAAGTTGGGTGGGTAGGGAGATGAAGGAGTGTAGGAAGTTAAAGCCTACAAGGCCAAGAGATGAGCCAACCTGGAATCTGCCTGTCACAGGGCCTGATC